CCTTCCGTGCGAAAAGGCTGGCCGTGCCGGCCGGGCATGCCCTGTTCCGCGAGGAGCTCTGGTCGAAAACATCATCCCCAAAAACTCTCCATCCCTCGCCACTGGCGACAGACCTACGCTGTGGCTGCTTCGGCTTGTGGCAGGTGCTGCGTACTCTTTGTGCGTGTATTCGCTGTTGTGGGCTTGGTAGATGGCTTTAACCGCAGAGATTGTTCGCAAGGTATGGTTTGCGTTGGCTGTGGCTCAAAGAAGTCGTGCTGCTCACGATCGATTATCCTGTCGTGCTGTGTCTTTAAGCTAGAACATGATGAAGATTGGGCTAAGCGCTATCAAAACTGAATGAAGTAGAGGTCAAGTTCAACTGATCAATACAAGTTCCTGAGAACTTGGAGGAGAAGGGTGTAAAGTTTCATACATGTATGTTTTTGTGACGTAAATGAAGACTGTAATGTTTATGTGTTATGAAAATTGAGTCATGTTATGCTATAACTTATGCTTTCTCACTCTTTGTGATGTCACTCGCTCTTTCTTTCACTTAGCAATTTCATCAGCAGCTTCAGAGCTTTGCTGAAGTTTCTGTAATGGTGTTTTTCACAATTTTCATAATAAGCATTTACTGTTGCCCTTAATTTTTGTCAGAAACACACTCGATGTAACTCACATTCTTCTGGTACTTTTCATTTGTAGGGATTAGCAGATACAGCTAAAAAGAACTTTGGTGGTGGAAACACTGCTTGGGAAGAGAAGACGCTGTCAAAGTATGAGTCCAGGTGAGCTGTCTCAGTACCTCCATTCAGCTATGCTTCATGTCCACTTCACTGTACTGTGTTTGTCTGAACTTAAATATTTGAGTGTTGCAGCTAAAGTTTCACATGTCCAAGCCTTAAATTCTTATTGATTAAAATGTAACATTACATTGTAAAGTAAAGATTACAGTAAAGACTGAAACCTCTTATTAATGCCTTTGTTTGTCTTGTGTTTGAAAACAACAAAAGTTAATACCACCTTTGGTCATAGTAGTTTTTTTCTCCTTACCCATTAAAATCCTAGAACAATTATCTTAAATAGTGGTCGGTAGTTAATTGATAGTCATAAAAGTTGTGTAGTACTGCACTACTTGTTTTAGAATTAAAGCAGTATCTCCTCTTTAGAGTTGTCACTATTTCAGTGCCAAACAGAAAACTAAAAGAGGTGCAGATTACCATAGTCTTTTCTATATATGTTTGACTACTGAGCAAATGATCTGGTATTTTTCTTTCAAATTCACTTTAATCTTAGTTGGAGCACTGAGATGTAAGAGTGGGATTTCTGAACCTCAGTTACTCTGAGCTTTGTGGACTTGCATCAAATATTAACAATCCATTAAATTTATTGTTGAACTTAGGAGAAAAAATACTGTGCTCAAAAATTGCTGGGAAGCTAAAAATCTATGAAACCTGCAATCTGCAGCCATAATAAATGCGAGTAAGCCAAAGTGGTCCTTCTGGTCATCCTTCTAACTTTTTCAGTTGAAGTAACGTTCATTAGTTCTGTATTCTGATATTTGCTTTGGAACTAATTCAGAACAGACCATAAACTGATAACGTGTTCTAGACTGAAGTCTAGCTTCTCTGTCATGTGGTGTCAAATGTTTAATTTAAACTTACGATTTTCCTTCTCTGCTTGTAGTGAAATTCGTCTTGTAGAGATAATAGAGAATCTGTGTGACAGTAGTAACTTTGAATGTAACAACATGGTAGAAGAGCATGAAGAACATATAGAGAAATGGTGGTTCAAACTGTGAGTATCAGTTTTTCTTGGGGAGGCCCTTGTGTGGATAAGTTATCTAAAAGGATGAACTATGAATATTTAATCTTGTGCCTGAACAATAGCGGTATGGATAAATCTTCATTATCCTTCAAGAGTTGCCATTGCGTACAGCTGGTTTCAGGCTGACTTTTAATAGCATGTGCTGCTGTACTGTGTTCTTTTTTATTTTCAATTCTGGAAGAGTTGCACCAAAACATCCAGTCTGTCTTGTCACATACTGTCTACTCAGTTGCCCAGTGGGGTGTTAAGGTAAACTAACATTGGAAAACTTTGAGGTTTATTACCTTTTTTGTTTTCCTTTTGTCATAAAACTGCAAGGCACTCTTTGGTTCTTGTGGGGTTTTTTTCTTAGCTTTTTTTTTCCCCTGAAACGTTATCTTGTTCTCCTGACAATCAGAAAAATAGTTGATGCTAATAAATCTAGAAGTTGATCTCTTGAGGATGGTAGCGTAGCAGCTGACTTTTTATCTGCCTTCTAAGCTAGCATGTGATTTCTGTTACAATTAAGTTTTTCATATACCATTATAAAATATAATCAGTGCAAAAAAGGCATTGTAGCTTTTAAATCTTTTAAGATCTCTTTTTAATTTCCAAATCATGTTTCTTGTAAGTACTTTTTTACTACTTTAGACTGCCAGCACTCCCAGTCAGCTAGAACCCAATAGAGTGGACTGCCATTATAACGTGTCGTAACTGGATAAGGATTTTTGATAACCCAGTTTACTCTTATTGACTGCTTTATCCTTTTACCTAACTATACAGGATTGTGTATGCATTAACATGCCAAAGCGAAGGGAGTAGAATAGCATAGCATAGAATAGAATATTTCAGCGGTCGGGGACCTACGGTGATCACCTAGTCCAACTGCCTGATCACTTCAGGGCTGATGAAGAGTTAAAGCGTGTTATTAAGGGCATTGTCCAAATACCTCTTAAACACTGACAGGCTTGGGGCATCGACCACCTCTCTAGGAAGCCTGTTCCAGTGTTTGACCGCCCTCTTGGTAAAGAAATGCTTCCTCGTGTCCAGTCTAAACCTCCCCTGGCGCAGCTTTGGACCATTCCCACGCGTCCTATCACTGGATACCAGGGAGAAAAGATCAGCCCCCTCTTCCCCTCCTCAGGAAGCTGTAGAGAAGAGCAATGAGGTTGCCCCTTAGCCTCCTTTTTTCCAAACTAGACAAACCAAAGTCCTTAGCCACTCCTCATAGCATATGCCTTCCAGAAAGGTGAGCTATGTAACACAGAGTCTTAACCCATATGTCTTAAATTTGCAGAACTGAAAGAAATGGGTCTTAAACTAGAGAATGTGACAAAGTAGACTTCCTAAAATAAACAAAGCCATTCATCGAATACATTGTTTCTTGGAAAGTTTCTGTATTTAATAGACCTTTTTAGTACAGTTGATTAACTTTGCCTTCTGTCCTTTAACCTGTGATATCCAAATGTCGTTCACTTTCTGTGGTAGGTTCCAAAGACAGTTTCTTTGTCCATGAATACCTTAGATCTTTTTTTCACAAGGTGTTACATTACATGTGGTACTCGGTAAACTTATTTTTCAGGGCCTGAGCCTTGGAGTCAATGTGGTCAGACATAATAGTTTAGAAAGAGAAGCTGTACCTGCCTCAGGAGTTGCTGAAGACTTCTGTCAGCCTACAGAATATCCATGTATTTCCTCTACTAAAGTTTTTGAGGCATCAGCATGATACTGAGATGTCTGAATTGTCATTCAGAACTGTAGTAGTCCTCATGCTTGCTTGCAAAATAATATCTAGTGATTTTATTGTTAATTGGGGTGTATGCTAGTGCTAGAGTAGCACATAACTTATTAATATTAAAAAAATCCTTCTAAAAGGATTTCTTATGCGTGCTAAAAAAGAGGAGAAATTTTAAAGGGCACTGTGTGCAAGGTTGGCAATAATTTGAGAAAATGTTATTATCTGTGCTGGGTTATCTTCCGCATAGTTGAGATAAAGACACAGCAGCTGTCTTTGAGAGGAAGATGTAAATAAGACTGTCTATACTATATGTAAAACTTCCCTAAAAATAAGGTGTTAAAAAAAAAAAAGGGGGGCATGTATGTATCATGATGAATTGGTTTTATTGGTTGCTCTTATTTCACAGTTTTTGTAAATATAATCTATAAAATTTGAGTAGAGTCTGTTAATAGTATTGTAGTTTAAAAGATAAATTAATCTGAAGCTGGAGGACTTCTTCTAGAAATTGGTTCCTGGAATAAGGTCGTCTTCGAAACAAAAAATTTGTTTTTAATGTCATGTGCAATAGATTTCCCTACTGCGTTGTGCAGGTTCAGTTGCGTGAGTTGGCTTTTAAAGAAGCTTTGTTCTTTTTGTTGATAAATGAATGTCTTTCATCTGCAGAAAGAAGAAGTATCCTGATCTGTTTAAGTGGTTTTGCATAGAAACAATAGAAGTTTGCTGCCCTGCTGGAACTTATGGACCAGATTGCCTTGGTAATTTTTCTTTTGAAAAATACAGTAGCAGATATGTTCTTTCTACCTGTTTGTTTCAGTCTTTCACAACATGAACAAATACATGAAGTATGATACTTTGTGTGAGACACCAGCTGCTGTGTAGTGTGTACCTGCTTGCTGCCTGATAGTTAGGTAGCTGCCTTGTGAGCATCCTGCCTGAAGAAAAGTCTTGCGGGCATGGAGTAACGTACAAAGCTATCAAGGGTACTTACACGTGCAGAATCCATCTGATCTGGTGCTCATATCCACACCTGACCCCTGCTTAAAGGTTCTCTGACATCAGGTTTCTTGTTTAGGTGGCCTTTCAGAAGCTATGTAGGCAACAGTCCTTGACCAGTTTCAAGAGTAAAACGGCCAAAATACTGTTGGGGATTAAATGAAGAACTTCACAAACTGCGGATTAGTTAAAAAGGCAATGGGAGAAATTGGATAAAAGTAGGTGGGAGACAACTGGATGTCAGTAACATCTTTGATGCAGAAGTGATAAAGGAGGTATTCTGGCCCCTGAAGTTTGTATAATCTATAAATTTCTGAAACCTTGCACCTTGTTAGAGATCAGCTTTGACCTCTTACATTGTTAAAAATTAAGTGTCAGTTCTCAATATTGAGCTAAATGATTGCTAGTAGGTTTTTCCAACTGTAGTATGAGCATTCTTAGAAATCTCGAATAAACAGAGATAGCAACTTTAGCCAGGAAATTAGATAAAATTCTAAGCCATGGTCTTCACCCAAAATTAAATTTATAACTGAACTTTCCTGGACATTGTTTTGATTCCTCTTATACTTGAGTATATTGCTGTGTATTCCTTGTTGCAAGCCTTTTGGTTGCTCTCAAGGGAAAACAGATTTTTGGAAATTGTATCTTGGTTTCGTGTGACTTTTTTTACATTTTACTGTCTATGAGGAGAGAGGGACTTCAGGTGCTTGTGGATGAGAGTGGGCAGTTATTTCTTTTAACATCTGTTTTAAAAGTATTTTTGATTCTTTTTAGCTTGTCATGGTGGATCGGAAAGACCATGCCATGGAAATGGCCACTGTGATGGTGACGGTACCCGAGGTGGAGATGGCTCATGTAGCTGTAACAAGGAGTACACAGGAGATTTTTGTTTGGACTGTTCTGATGGATACTTCAGTACCTTGAGAAATGAGACTTATTCTGTTTGTACAGGTAACGAAGTCTTTGACACACGCTTAGATCTTTGTCTTCCTTCTTCAGTTTTTGTAAACAAAACTGAAACAATTTAAGCTGACAAATGTAAAAACAAAAAATAGTTATAATTTGATCACTCAGCTTTAACCTTAAATGACATGTTGGTCAGTCTGGTGAAATGCTAAGGTTTTGCAAGGTCATCCTTCCAGACTGCCCTTGATCTTTTTTTTTGAGCTGAAATTGCTGCATAGTGGACTACTTTGAAAGCTTGGTTTTCCTCTCAGATAAGCTTAACTGGAGTAAATGGGCATAGAAACAGCTGATCTGTACTGTAGGCTACATAGATTCCAGTTAAGTATGTCTAAGCTTAATTTTGAAACAAAGGTCGTAGGAATAACCTTTCAGTTGGTCAGATTTTCATCTGTTTTTTACATCTTGAATGAGATTCTGCAGTGACTAAATCCTGACTCTGGGGTCTAATAAGATTGGTTTTCATCATGATCTGTGTTGGGTTTTTTATCTGGCTGTGTAGTAATTCTTCTGTATTATTTATTTTATACTACAATATATAACACACATGTTGTACATTGTATGTTATATATGCATGTACTATACATAAAATATATGTAATATGCGTATACAAGTGGTTTCTAGTATGTTTCCTTGTGAAGTTCTTCAGACCAGTATCACTTCACATATTGCTTTCATAGCTAGTTGCAAATGAAGTAATCTGAGGATTTGTTAGGTGGGAGTGCTTAGTCTAGTGTTTAAATTGTTCCAACCTTGAGTGGCTGAGCAAAGTTAAACCTCTTCATCTCCTCTTTCCAAATATTTTGGAAGTTGGACCTGCCACTTCAAGTCACTAGAATTCCATGGCATTGTTTTAAGTGGTGCAGATGACTGTAATTGCCAGGTGGGGTTTTCTGGTTTTGGGGGTAGTTCAGGGGTGGGTTTTTTTGGTAGGATAGAGCTATATTTTTGTAAGTGATATCTCCATACAGTCAAGATTTAATCTTGTGAATGGGAAGGTCAAGCTACTACACTATGACAGTTTCCAGTGAATCTTAAAAAAGGTTTTATTTGAGAATTTGTGTGCCCAAATTTGTCCTGGAATCTCTCAACAAAGCTCAGATTGTAGTTTTCTCTTATCTCAGCCTGCCACGCTGCCTGTAAAACTTGTACTGGTTCAAGTAACAAGGACTGCCAAGACTGTAAAGAAGGCTGGATTAAAAATGAAGAAGCAGCTTGTGTGGGTGAGTAGTGCTTGGTAGACTTCAAACAGGTTTTGTAGCAACGCTGGCTGGTGAGATTAGATGACATCACATCGAGTTTTATTCTATTTTATGGAAGTGTTCTGTCAGTTTAGATTTCTATAGTTTGTAGTCTCTCCTTAACTTGTTTCACATTGCAGGAAAATAGTATTCTGTCCCCACTGGTCACCTGGTGATTATAGTTGTCTCTATCAAACTGTTCACTGTGTATCTTTTTCATTTAGTGGCATACAGATAGCAGCCAGTGGGGTGCTCCTTCTAAGACATGGGTTTTGTGTTTATTTGAATGCTAAACAATGCTCTACTCTTGATTTAATCTATTTTGTCAACTGCTAGAAGATTCCTGTCAGCTTATCTACGTGTTTTGTAGTAATTGCACAATTCTCTTCACATTACTGTGTGTTTATAAATGCTCAACCCTAATAAACTTTTCCTATTATTGGAGAGAAATACCAGGAGACATCAAGTTTAGTGTTTCCCTTAATCTCTTACCTGTTTCTTGTTTAGCATTTCTCTTCGTTTATGAGGAGATATGTATGAAACACTTAAGGAAAAACCCAAATACTAAAAATACTCCCAGTGTAGGAATGCGCTAGGGGGAGAGTAACACATTCTGTTTAACTGGTTGCATTTAACTAGTTAAAGACCCTTAACACAATGTCTGGAAACAGTGTCTTAGAAATTATGTGAACACTGCTGCTTTTTAAAAGTGCTAATGAGAACTAGAATTTGAATTACAGCTCCTGCGATACCTGCTTAGGCAACTGTTGAATTCCCCAGGGAGCATATTTAAGATGCTCCAGTATTGTCTTCCGTACAGCTGGTTTTTCCCAAATAATCGTTGCAACTGATCAAGTATAAATTAATTGAATAATCAGTAGGAAGCATGTCTGGAGCAAGAGGATGAGATAGACAGCAAGGGAATTGAAATAGCCTTTCTTTGTCTGTATTCTTTAGCTGTGAGTACTGTTGTGCCCTTTCCTTGAAATCACAAGACTAGCATGTTTTAACTTCCCAGGTAGGACTGGTTTTCAGCTTGACTGGTCCTAACCATAACTTGGCTTTGTCCAATTTGCTTTACGTAGAAAACTAAGCAATGTGTGTGTGTGCATTTGTATATATTTTTTTTTTTAATACTTCAAAAATTTCCATAGCTTGGTAATATAGGAGTAGAGAAATCAAGAGTATTCCAGAAGAGTAGTCTGTCTGCTTATTTGTTATGCTGTTTGCATAAAAAACATAAATGCATGCAAAACACTGACTTGAAAATGACAACGATGGCAGGTATTTTGGAAATTTTATTTCATTTGAGCTCTTGAATTTCTGATATGCTTGTTATTGTCATTGCAAAACATCTTCTGAGGATCAGTTTTGATTTGTTAATGTAAGTTTAAGCTGAAAAAAAACAGTATATGTTTCCATGTTACTTCTACGTCTAACATGTTGCGTATCTGATCCTGAACTCATCACAACAATGACTGTCAATGCAGTCAGTTTAAGTTTATAGCTTCTGTGGGCTGGTTCTTACAAGATCTCAAAGCATAGCGTTCAAGTATTAATCTGGCTATTTAATCATGACTACTATTTTGGGTAACTTGTCACTTTTTATCTTTCAGATATAGATGAATGTACTGGTTCTCCTTGCAAAGATCACCAGTATTGTTTGAACACAGATGGATCTTTCTCATGCAAAGGTTTCTTTTTAATCTGCTGTTGTACTTTATCCTCTAGAATACTAATCTAATGCTAGAGGTAATGCTAGAAAGGATCTGATACCAGGCATTTAGTACAATGTGGTTGGTCCTGACTGGGCATGGGGAGGTTGAGGCTTTAGACCTATTGTATGAGGAAAGCAAGAGGTTTCTGCTTATTTCTACTCTGGTCTCGTGAGACCCCACCTGTGGCCCCAGCGTAAGAAAGATATGGACCTGCTTGAGCAGATCCAGGGGGGTGCCACAAAGATGATTGGGGGCTGGAGCACCTTCCCTGTGAGGACAGGCTGAGAGGAATGGGGTTGTTTAGCCTAGAGAAGAGCAGGTCCTAGGGAGACCTTATAGCAGCCTTCTAGTACTTAAAAGTGGGTCTACAGGAGAGATGGGGAGAGACTCTTTATCAGGGAATGAAGTAATAGGACAAGGGGTAATGGTTTAAAAACTGAAAGAGGGTAGATTTAGATTAGATATGAGGAAGAAATTCTTCACAGTGAGGGTGGTGAGGCACTGGAACAGGTTGCCCATAGAAATTGCGGATGCCCCATCCCCAGAAGTGTTCAAGGCCAGGTTGGATGGGGCTTTGAGCAACCTGGTGTAGTGGAAGGTGTCCCTGCCCATGTCAGTGATGGTGGACTAGATGATCTTTAAGGTCCCTTCCAACCCAAACCATTCTATGATTTCTTGTGTGAGTAAGCTGACTGACTTTAAGGGTGGTACTTTAAACCTCATATGTATGAATTTTTATGCTTGAAATCTTTTCTCTTTAGCATGTGATGCCAGCTGTGTAGGTTGCACAGGGGAAGGTTCTGAGAAGTGTAAGACCTGCGCACCTGGATACATGAAGGAAGATGAAAAATGTACAGGTTGGTGGATTTAGCAGTATGTGGTAGAACACCAGTTAGCTCACTCATGGTTAACCATGCTGGGGTGCTGTTAAGTACGTTCACATTTGTCTGCTTCAGTTTTCAAGCCAATCAAAATGAACCCAGCTGCTCTGGTATTAGCAGCAAAGGCTTTTTTTATAATTTTCTTTATATTATTGATCTAATAATGCATGACAAGGCTTAAAGGTGAAACACTCCTACAAAAGGAGCAAAGTATTTTATAGCAGGTTCAGGAAACAAATACATGAGTCTCTTGTCAGTTATCTACCACTTCATTGGAAGTGTACATCTCTATTCATTTTCTAACAGAAAGGCAGGAATGTAATGTGGATTCTATTGTCTTTCTGTTAATCCATTAATGTCTAAGTTCAAATGAAATTAATTTGTAGTGAATTATAACATGAAATGAGAGTAAAAAGAAGGAAATTAGAGTTTCTCTGTGGGGAAAAGAAGAAGGTACTCATGATCTTAAGTAGCTGTTAACTATGATGATGTAGTATTTATAGGCTCCCTTCCCCTCAGTTGTACTTTAATGGCATCAATAGAAAATGACTATGGGAAATCTTCAGTAGGTTAAGACAAGTGCTGTTGATTAATTCATTTCCCCACATAGGGGCCTGCAAAACATAAAAAACCCAGTGCTATCTGAACAAATTTGAAACACAGTCTAAATCATGAAGAACCATAACAGATTATTTTAACAGGAGTTAGATTTGTTGCAGTGGCATTCTTCTCCTCAGTGTTTTTTATATTTGAACAGAATTTTGTTTATATGACTGAGAACAGGTAAGTTTTCTAACAGAAAAACAGAAGTGGCTTTCCCTATTCTATCTCTAGATATAGATGAATGTAACCTTCCTGAAAAGGTCTGCGTGAAAGAGAATCAAGACTGTGTTAATACTTCAGGTAGTTACAAGTGTGTATGTTCAGAGGGGTTTGAAGATAAGGATGGAACATGCATTCAAACAGTAAAAACAGGCAAGTGGCTTTTCAATGACAGATTTTTTTCTTAAAAAATATGCTATATCAACAACTTTCAGGTTTATTTCTGTGTAAGGGTCTAGTCGCTTGTAAACTCTTCTGTATAATTTCTCATCTTCCTACAGCTGTTGTCTGTGTCAAGTAGTTTGTGGTGTGGGGCACATTCTGGCATGCATGTTTTCTTGCTTAAAGACAGTGGATATTTTTAAAAGCCCCACAGAAACAAAACCGCAGAACCTTGTAAGCATTGTATTTCAGTTCAGTGCTGAATTCCAGCAGTCAGTTGTACTGGAATGTAGGGGAAGGGCAGGGAGAAAAACCCAACAAACCCCCCCCCCACACACACACACATCTTCCTCTAAAGGAAGTCAAACAACTTTTCAAAGGTAGGTAAACAAGTCTTTCTTTCAGGTACTTGCATCAAGTATGTAAACTAATTTATACAGTGATGGAAAGTAAGTTTGAATAACTCCTATCATGAAAAGGAGGTCTTCCTCCTCCCCATTTTTTTTCCTTTATCGTTAATTGTAGTGACTTAAGGGTATATCTGATTGCATGCAAGCTGCCTCAACTCAGTGGAATCTCAGAAAATTAAGCAGAATTCTTTTTCCTGGATGAGTGAGTGAATTTGTTTATTTTGTGATAACAAAAGTGCCAGAGCTGGTGTGAAGGTGAATATGGAGAAGACATCCATCTTTCAGTAGCAGGAAACTGTTTAGCTTGACTTAAACTATACCTTCAGTCAAGAAATTCAAGTGTAATTTGCTCCAAGGATATATGGCACATTATACGTGGAATTATGTTCATTAGTGTTTCATTACTCTGTCTAGGCTTTTTTTTTTTTTACAATTCCAAAGTGATAGATGGGATTATTTTGCAATAAAGGTTGTAGGGGAATAGATGAGACAGTTTCATACCTTTGTTTTCTTTCCGCTTGTTTGTTTTTGTGTCGGTTGTTGTGTTGTGTGTGTCCCCCTCTGCCCCCAACCAAGACTGGTTTTTCATCTTGTACTAGTAAGTTGTGAAGATCTATGTAGTATTGCTACTCAAGGCCATTCAGTTCAGACCTTGTACTCACTGTTACTAGGCCTTTAAAATCAGTTATGTACTTCTCCTGTGCAGATACTCGGGATATCAGTTACTATGTTTTTTTAATGTGGCCTGACATTTTATGAGAATAAAAGGAAAATGAAAAGTTGACAAATTGGCTTAGCTTTCTCCTTAGATTAATGCTTTTCCTGATATAATGAAATAGCTCTGCTTTTTTAAAGGCTGTTTTAACATTTGAGCTGAGCAGTTTGCACTAAAGAAAATAATTGAGTAATACTTGCTTTTTGTTTTCAAACACTAGAATTTCTTCTGACAGATCATGTGGAATAGCTGAATAGCTGAAAACAAAAGCTTAGAATAGAAATAGCTGTGCTGCTTTTTTCTTCCATTAACAATATCATACCAGTTTATTTGAAATACTTTGTCTGCATCTAGTAAAAAAAAATACAAGTTTAGAAAAGGAGGATGGTGCAAGTAGCTCTTCTGTACAGCTTGATTGCTTCTCTGGTCTTGATAAATATGTCGATTTGGGCTTCTCTTAAAAAAATTCGAAATGCCAAAAATTAAACAATATAATACATTTGTATTCTAATTATGATACTTAATTTCACAGGAGAGGAAGTGGAGAGTAAATCAGCTGAGCCTTCACCTACTGGACATGATGACTTATGATCTACATTCAGAACCAAAAGACATTCCTATCTAAAGTTTTAAATTATTGGACTAAGCATTTGCTAGCTGACATACTGTGGAAATGGTATTAAATATGCAGGTTTTAAATGGCCATTAAGATTTTTTTTTTAAACAATGATAAACTGCTCTTTAAGCTGCATTTCTTTATTCTTAAATGCCACTTTTTATATAATTCTTCAAGAACAACACTCTAGATAGGTTAGTATAAAATTTGAAGTAACATTGTACCCAGAAATTGTAAACAGTTTGCAGGTTTTTCATTCTAGTGCCTACACAAAACTATCATCATTTGGAAGGACTTAGTTGCACTTCAGTCTAAATTTTTCTTGGATTATGAAGTTTGGTGTTTCTTGACATGAGAAATATTTCTGTAATTGAAATACAGCTTTTAGAAATTGTCAAAGGGAATCTCTTTGTGGGGGAAGCACTGTTCCCTGAAACAAAATAGAATGCCTAATACTGCATTCAATAAAAGTTTATTTTGTTGGAATGTGCCTTAAAATTTTTAAGGTGTTAATACCTTGCTGTGTTGTCATGTCTATTTTTCATTTAGGCAGCGGAAAAAAACCCTCAAAAATGAACAGAAAGCCCCACAAAAACAAAACCTCAGAACCTTCTCAGCACTGAATTTCAGTTCAGTGCTGAATTCCAGCACTCATTTGTGCTGGAATGTAGGGGAAGGGTGGGGAGAAAAACCCAACAACCCTCCCCACACACACACACTTTCCTCTGAAAGAAGAATTAAGTCAAACTTAAAACAACTTTCCAAAGGTAGGTAGACAAATCTTTCTTTCAGGTATTTGCATGAAGTATGTAAACTAATGTGTACGGTGATGAAAAGTAAGTTTGGCTAACACCTGCGCTCAGTGGCTCACAGTTGTTACGCGAGTACTCTCTAGATTTGATGAATATATGAATTTCACTACAGTCTACTGCTGCATGTAGTAGCTTCCTGTCTTTTTCACAGCAAGCATACTACAGTCAATTTATCTTGTCTCTTGTGCCATTTCAAAGGGAAAGTTAATAAGCGTAGCATAGATGCAACTTCCTACATGTTGTCCTTAAGCTTAAAGGCAAGTATAAGAGCTAAAATCAATATATTCTGTAGGCCCATCACAGCTGTAAAAAAGCTAAGGACCACCCAGGTACAGTATTTAAAGCTCTGATAGAAGTGAGTAAAGTTTGGAATACATTGTGGTGGTGGATACAGGGAGCATGAAGAGGGATTACAGAGTACAGCTAAAAAGAGCATGGTTTAAGCTTGACTATGAAGAAGTTATAACCAGTACCCTGAGATAAGTGGAAATAAAAAGGGTATGAATAGGATTGACCTGTTGAGCAGTGAAGGCCAAACGCCTTCTGTGTAATTCTGAAGACCGCTTTGTTCAGACTAAGTCACTGTTCAGTTTGTGGACAGTGCATGTAGGACTTCTATGTGCAATAGATATTTAAGTGAATATTCTGCAAAAAGGGATTCTGTTGGATTCTTATGTTAAAAGCTGTCTAAGCTGATCTTGTGTGTTGTAGTTTAAGTACCCAATGGTATTAAAGTATCTGTAACAGTTTTCTTTAAGCTATGTTCCTTCAGTACTAGATGTTTCTTAATATTCCAGTCTGAGAATGAAGACTTGAGTGCTTTCTCAGCTGTAATTGCCAGAGATAGAATCATAGAATGTTTAGGGTTGGAAGGAACCACTAGTGGTCATCTAGTCCAACCCCCCTGCAGTGAGCAGGGACACTGCTAACTAGATCAGGTTGCTCAGAGCCCCATCCAACCTGGCCTTGAATGTTCCCAGGGATGGGGCCTCCACTACCTCTCTGGGCAACCTGTTCCAGTGTTTCACCACCCTCATTGTAAAAAATTTCTTCCTTACCTCTAGCCTGAACCTACCCTGTTCTAGTTTAAAACCATTTCCCCTTGTCCTAACACAGCTGGCCCTACTAAAAAGACATTCCCCATCTTTCCTATAGGCCCCCTTTAGGTACTGGAAGGCCGCAATCAGGTCTCCCCGTAGCCTTCTTTTCTCCAGACTGAACAAGCCCAACTCTCTCAGCCTGTCCTCATAGGAGAGGTGCTCCAGCCCTCGGATCATTTTTGTAGCCCTCCTCTGGACCCGTTCCAACAGTTCCATGTCCTTCTTGTGCTGAGGGCTCCAGAGCTGGACGCAGGACTCCAGGTGAGGTCTCACCAGAGCAGAGTAGAGAGGCAGAATCACCTCCCATATAGATGGGCCTATATGCCAGCTATCTTTCAAGTTGTAAGGTAGGCATTGTATTTAATAAGTGTTAAATTAAAAGGGGGAAAAAGTAGGCAGTTTGGGGAGCACAGGGAATACAACTGAAGGATCTTTAGGGTTTTTAGTACAGGTGTAGGTAATATTAGACCTTAAGGATCTTGCAGGAGTGTAGCTTGTCTTTGCTCAGTCATTTACAGCTCCCAGGTGTTCCAGATGATGGTCTGAATGGTCCTTGTTAATAATAACATGAAATGTCAGATCTGTTTAGAAACTACCATTAACTCATACTCAGTGGAATTGTCTCTCCAGTACAAGCTGTTCTGTTAATGTTCCAAGCCTGAAATAATGCTTCCTCATACGAAGAAGAACTTTCTGTTCTAAGGTCCCTTCCAAGTTATTTGAGAGTCTGGGGGGATACTGGGTAAGATTCTTAAATACATTGTGGAAGCAGTTTCCTCCCCCACCAAGCCCTGGACAAAAAGCCCTGACTGAATTGGTCCTAGTTAAGCTGAACTCGGGGATGAAGTCATGAAAAACAAGAACTTCCAAGTATTTGTTTTTTCTCTGGTGGTAGAGAGGAGAAAGTCTTCCTAGCCTGACCTGCAAAAGTAATGAGAGTAGTCTGATATAACCAAACTGTTGTTCAGTTCCAGACAATAATGTTCTCAGCTTTCCATTACCACATTAGAACCATCAGAACCTTACGTAAAATACGGACATGGTACCTGGGTATTAGAACTCACTAATATCTTCAATTATCCCATTCCCCTACCCCCTGATTATTAGAACCTACTGCTTTGCATTAAATTATTGTGGATAAACTTAAGTCAGGGGTCCAGAAAGGTGAATTCAAGTATTGGAGCTTTCTCTGGAGGAATATTGACCAAGTTATATATTTGATTTAATGCTGTGCTACTGCCTCATGCCCTCTCAATGCTGAGTTTCTGGAGTCAGTCATCTTGTTTTATTCTGTAACCTCATTTTACTATTTCAGGCTGTAATTATTGCTCTGTTTGAGGTTGGAACTAAGAATTGTTTTGACTGCATTTATTCTTTTTTTATTCTTGCCTTGAATAGAGTGGGGGTCAGACTCCTAGTTGTCTTGGATTTTGCCCCTCATAATCAGAATGAAAGGTGTGGGGGGAGCAGGATTTAAATTGATCAGCAGAAACTGGCAATGAAGTTGAAATGCTTTGTGTTAACCAAACCAGTCCAGGGTGTGAATGCTTTCTACCATATATGTTAACAGTTTAGTGCTAAAGAAAGTGAGCTATTCCCATTAAATTACTCATTACATTGTAAGGAGATCTGGTTATGCAGTACAAAACTTTATACTTAGGGTTACTTGGAATTACAGGTTTCATGTGAAACTCTATGAATATGTTTGTAAATACTTCAGAAGTCTTCTGAGATACTCAACAAACAAGATTTCTGCCTTAGTGAAGAGTTGGTTAGGTACTTTTGTCATAAATACCAAGGTGATCCTTGAGCTTCTAGATTCACACCTATTATTTTGTAAACTTCATACTGTGTGGTATCAAACTAAAAATGACATCCCTTTTGCTAGTTTGTCTTGCTGCTTCTTTGGGGTTTCTTGCCCTAAGACTAAGCGCTTTTTGCAGTGGGAAATACACTATTCAGTACCATCTAGGGACTTAAAAGCACAAGGTTCTCTGGTATGTTACAGCTGGACTGCACAGAAGGTCCAGGAACACCTTCCAGGAACAAGCAAACCTACAAACCTGCATGTTTCAGTTAAAGCTCTAAACGAGGCCAGGAAAGCAAGTATACAGCCTGTATACCACAATCCTCCTCCAGTGTCTAAACTTAGAAATCAAAGTATGTACTGAAACGTTTCATTTGAGCGTTAGGACATAATATTGAATTTATTATTTGGTGTAAATTCCCAGCATCTCACTGAGTTCAGGGAGAGCGAGAGAAACTGAGTTCTCCACAAAGTCTTAACACAGTCCATTCATAAACAGGGTAAAAGAAGTCTGTGTTACAGAATAACTGGATTTAGGTAATCCAGGAAGTCAGGGATCACCTGAAAGGGTTCAAATCGATATCCTCTTTCTCAGGAGAGATGCCAAAGCCCATAGGTTATAAACAAGATCAGGACACAAGTCACTGTAAAATATATGGCATATATTATACAAACACAACACTATTTTTTTCCTTTTATGGTTAATGAGGACTGATCATGTATGGGAGAGGTACTCTTCAGTCAGGCAGTTGTCCGTGTTAGCCTTTGAACTGACATTTGCAAGCACCAAGAGTTGTGGAAATCACCACATCACATTTTGAATGTTATGTTCTCAGCGTATACAGCACTGTGTGCATGCGTTTAGACAAGTCTCCCTGACAAACAGGGTGCACCCTGCCCTTCAAGTTGCTTTCGGACCATTCTTAATACAGCACAAGGTTAGGCATAGGAATAATTCAAGCTTGCCTTAACAAGTGACTAATTGAAAAGCATGCATAGGGAGGAGGAAAAAAAAAAAGCTTTAAAAAAACCCCAAGCAGTCCTGGATCATATATAGCAATAATACAAAAACCAGCTCTCCATAATGGTCCTAGCTGACCTCCTGATACCCTTCCCTTTCCTTTCCTCTGCCTATCATCTGCCATGGGCTATTTTCTGAGATTATATTTTATCTGTTCTGAAAGGAAACTTCTGAGGTTACTCAAAGCAATGGTCTGTGCTCTTTTTCTTCTTTTGATCAAAATGTAATTTTCCTCCTCTCTTTCAGCAACTTCACACCTGTGTAACTTTCTGGTTTCAGTTCCAATGTTAATCCAAATATAATCTGTGAGTAGAGCTCAAATATGTTTGCAAGGATCTTGTTGTTTCTCAGATTACTCTTAGAACTATATTTTAATGGGTGCTAATGTGACAGCACTAATAGTAGTCATCTCTTGCACTAGTGTATTAGATTCTCTTTCTTGCTTGAAAGTGCCTTTGAAATTGTATTTCTGTTGCATTAGACCTCTTTTTTGTAGCCTTTTTGTCTTTATTTTAACTTTTTTTTGTAACATACTCAAGTTAATACTTCCTCTTACAGGACTGGAATGTAAAAACTTAATTTCTAGTCCACTGATTGTTCTTTGTGGCACATGTGGCTATGTGTAAGTAGTTGAGGTAACAGGCATGTCCCTATTACCCTATCTTTGTGGAA